TCAGCTGCTAAAGGAAAGGTCAGCAGTTCAAACCCACCAAAGCCTCTGCAGGAGAAAAAACCTGGTAATCTGTTTCCATAAAGATTATGACCTGGGAAATCCTGTGGGGCAGTTCTTCTCTGTCCATGGGGTCGCCGTGAGTCTAAATCAGCTCGATGACACACAACAACAACAATTCACACAGTAATCGCTCACTAAATTCTTAATTGAACTAACCAGAACTCTTTGCCAGTCAGCAGCTGGTCAACTTCTCTGGTGCATTTAGGTTTTTAAAGTGCTATGTAATTTCCAGAAAAGAGACCTTTTCAAGGATCTCAGACTAACTTGCTTAACTGCAGTAAAAGTGCATTCAGCCATCAGTGCTAAAATATGAAATATAAATATAAGTAAAACTACTGTTGTATGTGATTTATAAAATCAGTCTGCATATCTTATAGTCACACTGTGTAAAATGGATTTAGTTCTCAGACTTGATAAAACTTATGAACAGGATTTACTGGTTTGCCAACTATGATGAAAGCCATTGATCATTAAGTTTCTGAGTTATAAAGGAAATTGTTTAGAAGTTACTCAAGCATCCTGATATATGAAGAAATGCTTTGTGGCTAAAGCACTTCATATTAGAGTATGGTAGCTTCTTCCTTAGTAAGAGAGATTCATTTTTCCAGACTCTTCCTCTTCAGTGTGAGAGCATTTGAAACGCTGCAGGCATCTGCTTGTCCTAGAAAAGTAATTAAGACAATCTGAAGAGGCATACTGGTCTTGGAGTTACATCACCTTTTACTAGTTTTAAATCTGAACAAAGTACATGTTACTTACAAAATTTGTTTTAGAAAAATCCAACCAAAGTTAAAATTACTTTCATAAATTTCTTTTTCCTAAGAAAATGGAATATACTTAAATGAATCAGGAGATTCTTGCTTTAGTGACATTATAGCTATTAGTGCTTAAAAATATATCAGAACTTTTCTTTTTTCTCTAGAGTGTAATATCATTGCCTTGGACTTAAAATGTATTTTTTTGTTTCTATTGTGGTTTGGGTGAAAGACTACAGAGCAAATTAGTTTTCAATTCAACAATTTATACACATTTTGGTTCATAACATTAGTTGGATTCCCCTTAGTGTTTTAGTGTAATAGCCACTCTTCCTGCTTCCTCTCTGAGTTCCTTCTTTCTGTTTGTCCTTCTTTCCTGCCTTCTCAGCTTTGCTTTGGGGCCCTTTTTGTCTTGTATAACTGATTATTCTGAGCAGTACATTCCTCAGGAGTGTTAGGGTCCACTCCTGTTTATTGTTTGGCTGTAAAGTGATCCTGGATGTGGATTCAGTTCAGGTTTGAAGGGTGTCTGAGAGCCCCAGCTCAGTGGTTCCACCCGTCTCTGTCAGACCACTAAGTCTGATTCTGATGAGTAAGTGTAAGTCTGAATTATGTTCTGTGTTTTTTTCCCATTTTGTCCGGGACCTTCTGTAGTCCCAATCAAATCATCTGATAATGGTAGCCTGACACTAGGTAGTTCTGGTCTCAGTAGTGGAGGCTGTGGTTTGCATGGCTCATTAGCCCTTTGAACTAATTATTTCCTTGAGTCTGTGATTTTCTTCATTCTTCTTTCCTGCAGATGGGGAAAGCCAGTAATTACATTTTAAAAACCACTGCCATCTAGTCGATTCCAACTCCTAGTGACCACCATTGGGTTTCCAAGGCTGTAAATCTTTACAGAAGTAAATTACCTCATCTTCTCCCTATGGAGGAGCTGTGGATTTGAACCACTGACCTTCTGGTTTGCAGCCAACTGCCTTACCCACTATGTCACCAGAGCTCCTTAGTTACATCTTAGAGAGCCTATAATGTATTTTCCATTAGCTGGAATGATACCAAGTTGAAAATTAAACTCATATTTGCTTCCCCCAAAGACCCTCCTTACGGTATAAACAATTTCTTTAAAACTTTCAGAAAAATGGTATAAGGGAAGAATAATAATATATCATGACTAAATAGACTTTAATCTAGACCTGTAATAGGAGCTCTGGTGGCATAGTGCATAAGGCATTTGACTGCTAACCAGAAGGTTGGTGGTTCAGACCCACCAGCCATTCCACGGAAGAAAGACTGGGCAATCTACTTTTGTAAAGATTTACCACCTTGGAAACCCAGTGGGAATCACTGTGAGTCAGAAGCAGCTCGATGGCAGTGGGTTTGGTTTTTGCTTTGGTCTGGGCCTAAATGTATGGGTATTAAGAGGATAAATGTTATAATATTGTCATATGATACAAAAATAGGGGAAGCAGTTTAACATTTCTCAAAGTATTGTTAGTTGCCTGTGTTAGTAATGGGAATTAATAAAGGAATGCAATGAAGTGATTTTGGAAAATGCTGTCTTTTGTTTTACTTGATTAGCTTAGGACTTTAGAATTTTGATATGTTGATATCTACTATAAATATCTGAGGATATTATACATTACTATTTTTTGTTTAATTTTTTCCTATTTTATGTTTAATTTTTATTTCCTATTTATTAGGAGCATCTTGCACAAAGGGCTTTGTGAAAACTGTTTTAGGAATCTGCTTTTTACTTTTTGCTTTGCCTTCAGTAGAGGGGGATGGTTTTGTTGGGTCTACAGTTCTGGATTGCAGCTTTTTTCTCTTGGTATTCGAAAGATGTTCCATTTCTAAAAAATCAATAGCTTTATTGAGTTAAAAATGTAACCACTGTAAGATTCACCCATTAAAGTGTGTAATTCAGTGGTTTTTAGCATATTTATAAAGAGCTGTGCAACCACTGTCATGGTCTACTTTTAGAATATACTCAGTACCCCAAAAGAAATCTCACCCAATAGCAGACACACCCTACTTGCCACTCAGCAGCCCTAGGAATCCACTGATCTGTTTTCTGTCTCTATATTTGGCTATTCTTTACACTCCATGTAAATGGAATCATACAGTATGTGGTTCTTTTGATGGGCTTATTTCAGTTACCATAATGTTTTCAAGGTTCTCCTATATTCATCTTGCATATATTAGTATTTCAGCCCTTTGTGTTTCTGAGTAATATTCCATTCCACTATGTGTATATATATAGGAGCTCTGGTAGCATCATGCCTAAGGCACTTGACTAACTAGAAGACTGGCGGGTCAAACCCACCAGCCATTCCTCGGAAGGAAGGTTGGGCAGTCTACTTGTGTAGTGATATCACCTCGGGAACCCAAGGAGGGGTTGCTATGTGTCGAGTTCAACTGGACAGTAGTGAGTGAGCTGTATGTATATACCACATTTTTTAATACATTCATCAGTTGATGGACATTTTATTTCTGTTTTTTCACCATTGTGAATAATGCTGCTATGAACATTCATACACAAGATTCTGTGTGGATATATAGTTTCATTTCTCTTGGGTTCATGTCTATTTAGGATTAGAATTGTGGATCATACAGTAACTCTGTTTAAACTTTTAAAGAACTTCCAAACTCTTTTCCACATTGGCTGAACTGTTTTTACATTCTCATTAGTCATGTATGAGAATTCAGTTTTTCTTTATCCTTGCCAACACTTACTATTGTCTGTCTTTTTTATTATAGTTATCCTATTACTATTGTTATTAGGTACCACTGAGTTGATTTAGATTCATAGCAACCCCATATGACAGAGTAGAGCTACTCCATTTGATTTTCTAGGCTGTAATTTTTAGGGGAACAGATTGCCAGGTTTTTCTCCTGCAGAACCGCTGGATGGATACAGAACTCTAACCTTTTTGTTAGCATCCCAGTGCGTAACTGTTTTGCTACCAGAACTCTTTATAGTCATCCAAATGTATGTGAAATGGTTTTGATTTTCTTACTCATAATGACTAATGAGTTTTTTGCTATTTCTCTGTGATATGCCTGGGTGATTTGCTCTCTTTAACCTACATAGTATTCTCTGAGCTTCTGAATCTTTGAGCCGTCCTTCTCTTTTCCTACTGTTGACTCCAGTTACACACATTAGACATTTTGTTACTGTCCCAAGATCCCTGAGGCTCTGTTGATTTTAATTTTTTTTTCTCTCTGTTCTTTCACGTGGACCAAAAAAAAAAGAAAACAACCCAAACCCACTGCCATCAAGTCAATTCGACTCGTAGTGACCCCTCTTAGGCAGTATATCCATGGAAGTAGATTGCCCAGCCTTCCTTCTGAGGAGTGGCAGGTAGGTTAGAACCAGCAGCCTTCTGGTTAGCAGTCAGATGCCTCAGGCACTATGCCACTGGAGCTCCCTTCACATGGACAGTTGCTATTAATTTATCTTTAAGTTGACTATTTCTTCTATCAGCTTCATTCTGTTAACTAGCACTATGCAGTGAATTTAAAATTTTACACCTTCTACTTTTCAGTTCTAGGATTTTTACTTGGTATATTTTTAAAATACTCTGTTTCTCTGCTAAGATTTCCTCTTCTTTGATCACTGTGTGCTTATTTTCCTTTATTTCACTGAGTATAGTTATTACAGTTGTTTTAAATACTAACATCTCCTCAGATCTTGTCCCACTTGGTTTTGTTTTCTCTTGAAACTAGGTCGTATTTTCCTGGTTCCTCTTTATTAAGTAATTTTTTTACTGTAATGTGTGGGCAGTGTTGTAGGAACTAGGTTTTGTTATGTTCCTTTTTAATAGTGTTTTTTCTCTCTTTTTAAAATTCTCTTATTTGGACGAAACTATAAAACTCTCTCTCTTAAGTGGCAGTTCAAATATCAGTTCATTTTCTTGTCTTAACTAGACTGCTTGTAGTAAGTCCTGTGTGCATGGTTCAGGGATTAGCCTGTGTTTTGGTTAGGGAAATCTGGATTATTTAAAAAAAAAAGCTTAATTGGTATAAGCATGTTTACCTTGTTGTTTTGATGAAACTCCTAGACCTTAGAATCATATCAATAATAGCTGGAAATAATTATAAATAACTGAATTCCAGTCTCTTACTTTGACAATTAAATAACAACCTGTTTATTGTTTATTTAATTCTCCCCACCCCCCATCATAGATCGAGCTGGAAGCATCAGTACCCTTGATTCCTTAGACTTCGCAAGATACTCAGATGATGGTAACAGGGAAACTGATGAGAGAGTGGCAGGTGAGTAAGATCATAAAGACAGATCTGGATTCTTTGGCATTCCAGAAATAATAAAATGGCTCGAGGGGTTTTCGTTTCTGCAATTTAATATGTGAATATAACATATATAGTTATATGTCCTAACTTTTTCACCAGCAGGAATTTTACCCCCAACTTCTTCTTCCAGTGGTGCTGTGAATTTCTGGTTATGTGCACATACAATTTGCTGAGTTCTGCATGCAGCCAACATTATGCATTTGTAAAATATCTAGTGCCAGGTTTAAGTTAGCCATGGAATAGTACAAAGTTAACGGGGCCTGAACCCTTAAAGCAGAGCTGATAGTCAAGTGTTACATACAAGTATAGCTATACTGGCAGTTAAAAATTGGTTGAAATAGTTCCATGTTGGTTGGTGAATAAAACTGTTGGCCTTGAGTTCCTCAGGTGCTCCCCAGCTATCATAACCTTTCTGCAGGAACTCTTTCTCTCGACCTTCTTATGATCCAGAAAATAATGAGTTAATATTTAGTACAATATGGGCCTCTAGACCCTACCCATTCTCTTTTATTTCCCTACCTTCTGACTTGGATGTCACCATTGAATCTTAAGGATTTCAGAGGCCTAGCTCGTACCCCATGTAAGCACTGCTTACACCACATGAGCCTGGTTGGGTTCTGCTGGAGGTCTACCCTAGAACTTACCAGTGTAGCCTCCCAGATCCCGTAAGTATCAAAAGTCTCGTGCCAACTAATGAGGTCATTCTTGTGTGGCATATGGGAACTGTAGCTTTCATAGGACTATGCTCTGAGAGAGATGGTATTTTGGGCTCCATCAGTAAGTTGCTCACTCTTGGAAAAGGAGGGATGCCACATGAGACAGCTAGATCCTGAGGGGGTATTAGGAGGCCAGGAAACATCTCCTCTTGAATAACTCTGTTGAAATTTTCTTCCATTTAAAGGGACAAGTGTGTAAACCTACCACATGCTTCTCTGTCATGCTCATTGTGAATAAAAGTGAGTGTTAATTCTTATATAGCACTTACTCCATTCTGAACACTGTTCTAAATGTGTATTATTATCATCCTCCTCCCTTTTTTACTGATGAGGAAATTGGAATACTTGAGATTATTTAAGACTTCAGTGTTAGAGCTTGGGTTCAAATCCAGGTAGCCCAGCACCAGAGCTCACAATTGCACTGTATCTACCTCTTAGCATGAAGGATTTCTTTTGACCTAATTATTTATGACATTCCAATATATGATTTTCACTCCTTGGTTGGAATAGAGACTAAGTGTTTTAAAATCTCAGGTCGTATTATATGTTAGAAAAAAATGATATAATTGTTTTAGTTTAGCAGAAGCTAAGAAGATTCAGTAGTATGAACAATAACTATCAATTTAAAGGAGAAATTGCTAGAAGAATGTAATGTGATTCTCTATGTCAAATCATGGCTTAGCCAAAAGCCTAATTTATTGACAGCTATATCAAAACAGAAAATATCATTAATAATACCTCAAAATCAGCAAATCAAATGGAAATTATTTGAATAATTTAATGACTAATTTAGTTACATCACTTGCTAAGTGATATTACATATTTTAGATTAAATATTAAATGTATGCTAGTTAATTGAGGTTATTCTAAATATAGTTTTATATGTTAATTTGTATTTATTATATAGACTGTTACATATTTAAAATAACTTCTGCCTAGAAATTGGCCACATAATTGTATTCTTTCCTTTAGTAACTGTTTGAAAATTTACCTTTTAGGTTTAGTCAAATGCAGAAGCTCATTAGTCTACTTGTTACTTAGCTGTTTTAGTACTTCTAATTATGTGAAACATGTACTGATTAAAAAGAAAACTCTTTATCTAAAATTTATAATAAACAAAAAAACCCAAACTCACTGCCATCGAGTTGATTGGACTCATAGTGATCCCTTCTTGGGTTTCCGAAGTGGTATCTCTACGGAAGTAGATTGCCAAATCTTCCTTCTGAAGAGTGGCTGGTGGGTTTGAGTATCAGCCTTCTGGTTAGCAGTCACATGCCTTAGGCCCTATGTCACCAGAGCTCCCAAAATTTATAATAGTTTATCTAAAACTTATAACAATCTCTAATTGTTCATGACAGTATAGGTAGTAAAGGAGAAGATAGGAGTTCCTTTGTATAAGTATCACTATTTATATAACATTTTCATTTCCCATCTAACATTTTATTAAAAGTTTGACTGAACCAGTCTGTTTTTGATAAGACAGTGAGCTAATGAGCTCAATGGGAAAAGCAAAGCAGGAAGAGAGGAATAAAGAAACAACAGTGGCCCTGGATAAACCACAGACTGCATAACTAAGAGTAAAATAAAACGTATTAAATGTGGCAGTTTTGATCTTAACATTTTTCATCTAAAGATTGTACTGTATCTCCAGGTTTGTGGAAATAAGGTAGTTTTTAATTGCTATAGTGTACTCACATACAAGCACATATTCTCCTTCATCTTTATTGGAAAAGGAGGGAAGAGCCTGTCTTATTCCAAGACAATAGCTGTCAACATTTTAGTGTTCTAGTGCTATATCCTTTTATTAAATCAAATGAGTTAATATTTGGATGAAACTTTTCAAAAAAGTTTCAAAAAAAACTAGTGTAATTCTCATTTCCAGAAGTATTTTTGACTCTTCTGCTAACCATTGGTAGGAACTTAAAAGCTTATCAAAGTATATGAAAATCTTTTTAAAAAAATTCCACGAAATATGATGGACCTGTTATCTGTCATAAGATCACTATAAACCTCACTAAGAATGAAGAGGGCATCAGAGAAAGAAACAAAAGTCTTTTTTAAATTTTCTTCTGCCAGTCTTAGGCAGAAGGAAGTTATGGATAACACAGGTAATGAGTGCATTGCCAGCCAACTGTAGGGTGGTCTTCAGCGTTTATCACTTTTGCTATTTATGAGGCAAACATTACATTTGCTCTTAGGGTCACTCTTACTATCTTTCTCATATGTTTAAAAATCTCATTATTTTTTAAGTCTGTGCAATTTTCCCTTCAAACATGAATTGATCTCCAAAGTTACTAATATTTTTGAGCATCTGCTCTGTGCCAGGCACTGTGCTAGGTGCTTTATATACAATATTTTATTTAATCCTGTTAACAAATCTGCAACATAGGTCATGATATCTTTATTTTATGGATTAGTAAAGTGAAACTTGCCAAGCTTGAGGAATTTGGTAAAGAACAAGATCAGGAGGTAGCCTCCATATGGTGAAGAACAAGATCAGGAGGTAAACAAATGTTTTTTATTCTAGAGCCCACAAGATACCTTTTAGTACCAGGCTGCAACTCTGACTTACCTGTCTGTTCAGTTTGAGTAGGTAGCAGAATTTTCTCTTTTTCATAAAAGACTGTTTCAGCATAGCTGTTTTCCTTTAAAAGAAGTAAGATTTTAAAAGCTTTTCACTTCAGATATTTTTCACTTCTGAACTTATTTTTCATGTGATGTATAAATTTTCATAGAAAACTTAACTTACGTAATAAAAAACCAAACCAATCTCACTGCAATGCAATCAATTCCAACCCATAGTGACCCCACTGTTTCAAGGTTGTAAATCTTTGTAAAAGCAGACTGCCCCATCTTTCTTCCATGGAGTGTTGCCTTAACCACTGCACCAACAGACATCAAATCAAAATAAGCTTGATCTAGCTGGGGTTTTGTAGTAAAGAATTTTGTATATATTATTCAACAAAACCAGTGTTACCTTATGCATATGCAGTGTACGTACTTCTTCCATTTTTAAGCTTTCTTAAAGGTAGCAAGAGGCATTTGTAGTCTAACTTTTGGAATTGCCATTTAATCCATTTAGGCATTTTTAGCATTGCTTTATTGCTTAAGGGGCATGGATGCAGCATGTTCTGACCTCTTCTAACTTCACAAGAGGAAGACAGAATCACCATCAGGAGCCCAAGGCTTACTCTTATGAGGCCAGGCATGCTGCCACCCTCCAGCCCTCTTACCATCCTTGATACCATCTATCCCTCTTAAGCACTCACCACCTCTCTGCTGCGTTCAGTAGTTTGCTGCAGTGGCCACACAGAACTCACAGATTATAGGGTTTATTAGGGAGGCAGCTGGCTACAATTCAAGTTCAGGAACGCACTCAGGATACAGTTCTTTGATCAGGGCAGTCTCCCGTCAGCTGTGCCTTTAGACACAACTCTCTGGCCCTTGGCCTCTCGGCCTGGCCCCTGCCTCTGTAGGCCAGGTAAGCCTGGTGCTCTGTCCTGTGACTTTTGGTTCCACTGCTGCCATCTCTCAGTTAGGCATCTCTCTCAGCCGGCAGTGAGATTCCTTCTGCCTCTAGGAGGGCTCATCTTGAGCCTGGCAGAGTGGCAAAACCAACCAATCCCAGCATCAGAGCTCTACACACCTGAGAGAGAGTGAACTTTCCCAGAAGATTACTTGATGCTTCTCCAACAGAAATACCCCAGGTGGATGACTCTAACAATCAGGAGTCTAAATTGCATGGTCCCACCCAGTAATCCTGTGAGAGTTACAAAGACTGTGGCTAGAAAAGCCATACCATGTAATTTACTGTACCACATATGGGTTAGGTACTATGTTGTTGTTGTTGTTGTTAGGTGCCGTCGAGTCGGACCCAACTCATAGTGACCCCTCCTTGGGTTTCCAAGGCAGTATCACTACGGAAGTAGATTGCCCCATCTTCCTTCTGGGGAGTGGCTGGTGGTTATGAACCGCCTGCCTTCTGGTTAGCAGTCAAGTGCCTTAGCCACTATGCTACCAGAGCTCCCTAGGTACTATGTTAGGCACTAGTAATATAAATGAAAAATAGATAAGGAATTGTCTTAAGAAACTTTTGCTGAATCACATATATGTCTGTAATATGCATATACTTGCAGTGCTTTGCAAACTGTAATAATGAGCTTGTTAATTTTGGGTAGGAAAGTATCAGAAAGAAAGTCACATTTGCACTGAGGCTTGTTGAATGAATAGGATTTTTTTTATATAGAGAGAAGAAGAGTTGGAAGAAATCACATAGACAAAAGATACAGGGTGTGAAAGGTCCTGGCATATTTGGGGGATGACAAGCAGTCTGCTTCTGTAAGGATTTGCAGCCTTGGAAACCCTATGGGGCAGTTCTACTCTGTCTTACAGGGTCACTGTCAGTAGTAATCAAATCGACAGCTAGGAGGAGATAGGACAGATGTTCCAACAAGAGTATGAAGAGGGAAGATTGCATTTTGAGAATGAATTTCTCTACATTTGTACCATGCAATTAAAACAGGCTCAGAGAGAAAAAAAAAAAATCATCATTTTTGTATTTAATCTAAAAATAAAAGTGATTACGTATTCATTAAATTTTTGTTTTGTCTCTCCTTTGTAGATCAACATTTTCCAAAGTATATTTCATAACAATGTTAGTTTCATTGGGTAAAAGGCAAGAAAAGGGATAAAAACAAGAAAAGAAAATCGACAGCTAAGGAAAAAAAGAAAAGAAAATTTTATGGTCAAAAATTTGGAAAATTGTGGTTTTCTGAAGGCTTTTCTGGGCTTTAATGTAGTGGTAGATTGTTGAGGTAATTTATATGAGAAATCATAAAGGTCTAATGTCTGACATAAGAAGAAACAGTTGAGATAAGTGGGTATTTCAGGAGTTAATATAAGGGTTGGAATCACTACAACCTGGACATGAATCAACGTGAGGGTGAAGGCAGGGATAAGTGAAGTGTGATCTCCAGCTTCCTGTGTGGGGACCTGCATGGGTGGTGGTGCCATTAATGTAGAGAAACTGTAGCATGAGGCGAGGAAGTGGATTTGAGAGAACTATGTTGAATTTCATTTGAAAAGGATCAAATTCACAACTTTGAGACATTCAAGTGGGCATGTCTGGGAGATTGTTAGGTAGGTGTGTATCTTGGGAAATGGGTGTGACAGTTTCTGCATCATTTGGGTACTTAGGATACCCAAAATCACAGGAGTGAGTATCATCTTAGTGGAGTATGTCAGGTAAGATGTAAAAAGGCCAAAGGTACTACCCTCAGGGGCACCAATTTAGCAATTAATGATGGAGAAGCGTGCAGGAGTGAGCAGGAGAAATGGTAACGGGAGGAAGTGTTTTTTCTAAGGTGTGGGAAGTTGCTTTTCCTCACCAAGTGGAATATAGAGAAAGAAATCTCTAAGACTGCAGAAATTGAATCTTGCTTTAATTCATTTATTATTATCTACTAAGTTGTGCATATCAGTACTGTATATATTTCTTCAGTCTGAAATATGCCAGAAGAATTCTCCAAACCCAGTAGGTCAGAGATGGTAGTATCTTAGGGTTTTTGTATTGTTTTGGTATGAAATTTATTCTAACTCATGTTCTTAAGAGAATTGAAAAATTAATTTTCCTTTTTGTAGAACCATTTCTACATGGGATGATAAATGAAGTATTAATGATAGGAAAATGATGTTTTATTATGAAGTCAAATCATGTTATCTTAAATTCAGAAAAATATTTAGAGAATTCCAACTTGAAAGAAGACAGTGGGTAGAATCCTTGACTCAGACTTAATTGATTTGGGCTTCTCAGTGGTAAACAGGAATGGGAATGAAAAAATGCTTGATTCAGATCAGTGTTATGGAAAATATCTTCCAAAATAATTTGTTGTGTTTCATGCCAAAGTGACATATGACTGGAAAGTATTTCACAATAATATTAATGATAAATTGAGTTGGGGAAGCAAAAAATTGATATATTTCTGCTTTGAATTTTATCTGTTTGCCTTTGTTGTCTCTACATAGTTGTACCTTCTCCCAAGTCAGCAAAGCATAGTCTTAAGCATTCAAGTGCCTCTGATACAATACTAGAGTCACCTGGTCCTGGTTGGCTACCATGGTTTCAACTAATCTAGAATTGCTCATACGGACGTAACCATCATTTTGTATAAGGTTTTAAGAGGTGATATTATTACACACTTTCATCTTTGTAGAGCAGTAGAATGTATTCATTTGGGTTGGGTTAGTGGCATGAGGGTGTGATTGTTGGTTACTACAGTGTTTTTTAAAACATACAAATCCTCGGACTTTTAAGGAAGAAATGTATATGAAAAACCTTGGAGATTTGCTCAGTGCATTGTTTCTTTACAGAATAACTCATTTTGAGCTTAAATAAAATGTTTTTTTTAAAAAGAAACAGATTCAAGTACACGTGAATATAGCACTGCTGTTCAGAACCTTTCCTTTGAAACTCTCGTGTGACTGCAGTTTTTTAACTGCGTACTGCACCTTTGCAGAGCTGTCCTGTAGCTTTCAAGTTATGCCTTTGTCTTTTAGAGTGTATATCATATATTAAGAAACATGCAGCAGAGTGAATTCATTTTGATGGGAAAGCATTGTTAACTTAATGACGTTTGGCAATTTATCCATAGATGTGCATAGGAATCTGAATTCTTGCCGTCTGACATGGGTTTTTCTGGCTTTCTGTGCCTTAATCATTCAGTGTGTGCTCCTGGTCACCTCGACTTTTGCCAGTTGACTTTTGAGTTTTCCCCAGTTTGTGTTTTAACCAGTTTTTATTTATTTATTTTCATGTTTCTATCATTCTGGTGTGGGGCATTTCTGATCTGCAAATTGTTCTGTAACACATCTTTGTAAAATGTAAATAGTATTGAAAAACATTATTATATATACTCATTTTACTGAAGATGTAATTAAGCATTTTTAAATCAAAATTATTTTTTTTTTGAAATTTTGAAGTTTTGAAATTTTACAAGAAGTAAACCAATCTACTATTCTTTACTTACCTTACAGATGGAATGTAGGCAGCCTTTCTTTTAAAAAAACATAAACTATCCAGAGTGTTCATTTCAGGAAAAATGTTTTAACTTTATTGCACAGAAATGTTTGCAGATCAGCATTGCTGACTACCAAAAAAGTAGTAACGTACAACGCCATCTGATTTTCAGTTGTGCTTCCATGTTGCTGCAGTTAAATTCTGGGCATCAAAACAAGTGGCTTTCATGTTACTAGATGTGATTCAGTTACATCTTACGTTTTTAATGAAAAATTGCAAACTGAGTGAATCCTAATTTTCCCATATACTTTTACAGCTTTTTTGTCTCTGATAACATCTCATTACAACATCTTTTTTTCTGTTTATAAGTCAATCAGGGAAAAATTATATCTTAAAGATACAATTTTTCAGTTTTTATGCAGAGCTATTTAACTGCTATAATTGATTAAATATCCAGTTGTGGCAAAGATCACTTCATTTCCCCAGTTCTTTATTTCAGTAAATGGTTTTATCTCCATGTCTGAGTTTGCTTTTTCTTCAGCACAGTTAAGGAATACATTTTAAGGAAAATTCTCCAGGTAACACACATATAGTTAACTTGTGCTTATAATTAGACATTTAAACAGCTTATTACAATGTTTCCCCAGTATTCATATTTACCTTATAATCAGACTTACGTGGTGATAGAAGAAAAAATTTGAATTTCATTGTTGTTGTTATGTGCCGTCGAGTCGGACCCGACTCATAGTGACCCCTCCTTGGGTTTCCGGGGCAGTGTCACTACGGAAGTAGATTGCCCCATCTTCCTTCCAAGGAGCGGCTGGTGGGTTTGGACCGCCAGCCTTCTGGTTAGCAGTCCAGTGCCTTTAGGCACTACGCTACCAGAGTACCTCTTAAACTAGAAAACTCTATTTCAAGAGTAACCAGAAACTTTGAAATTGTGCTTGATCTTACTTAGTATCCTTAGATAACTATACATAACCATTTGCTTTAAAAATATCTTAACTAAAAGAGAAACTTTGTACCCTTTGCCATTAAGTGAAACCTAGAATAAAAGCCTTGGAAGTTTTTTTTTTTTTAAAAAAAAAACATATAAACTACATTATATGCTTGTTTCTACAAAAATGTATTGACATCCCATCATTTGTTAAAAGTTTAAGCCATATTCCTTCAACTCTTAGTGAAGGGGCGTATTCACTATCGTTTCTATGTATTTGATTTATAACATTTAGATAGCATTCTAAAACTACTTTTTTTTTTTTTAACCTTATGATATTTTTAAACTATATTTACTTGGGCTTCATCTATTTTTATCTTTTCCCCAAAAATTATGTTACTTGAAGACATTGCTATTTTCTTACCTATTAGAGTGAAGTAGAAGTATCCAAATGAGTAATACCCAAATGAGTAATCCTCTGTTACAAAATGAAAGTATGCCACAGAATTTGTTTTTAAATAGCACTCTTCCCTGTCAGACAGCTGGAACAGTTATCAGTAGTCCCCTGAATTCTCCTAAAACTATGGAAACATTCACCAGTTTGCTTGCAAATCAACTCTGCTGCATGCGTTCACAAGTTTCATAAAGATTGCATGCTTTCTGTTTTCAATACAAACTGTATTTTTTTTTCATACCCATCCTTGCTTTTTATTTTTTTATTTTTGTTCCCTTTTCTTGGTTGGATGCCTGTGTGTGTTTATTCCAAATCCCTGTCCAGTCCTGGAGTTTGAACTACGGAAAGCCAAGGAGACCATTCAGGCCCTCCGAGCAAACCTAACAAAGGCTGCAGGTGGTGTACATAAAACTTTTTTTGAGACTTTTTCTACTTTGACAATGTAGAAGTAGCTGAGACATTTCCAACTGTAAAATAGTAAAATGTTTATAATTTCTTCCCCCAGAAAATGAAGTTCCTTTACAGGAACGGAAAAATTACAAATCAAGTCCTGAAATTCAGGTGAGTTGATGGCAGATCTACAAGTATCTTCCAGATAAAATGCAGCACAGGTCCTGAAGGAGGAAAACTTATGGTACTGTATCTGTCCTTTATTCTGATTCCAGGAGCCAATCAAACCTCTTGAAAAGAGAGCTCTAAACTTCCTAGTCAATGAATTTTTATTGAAGAATAATTACAAGCTTACATCCATAACCTTTTCAGATGAAAATGATGATCAGGTAAAATTACTTTTTTTTTTTTTTTTTAATTTATAATGTACTTACTTCCTCTGTTGTGTAGTTTCTTTCCTTTTTTTTCAAAGTTACACATATAATAATAATAGCATAGTGGCTAAGGCACTTGACTGCTCACCAGAAGGCTGGCGGTTCAAACCCACCAGCCACTCCTCGGAAGGAAGGTTGGGCAATCCTACTTCCGTAGTGATACTGCCTCGGAAACCCAAGGAGGGGTCGCTATGAGTTGGGGCCGACTCGACGGCAAATAACAACAACAACAACAACAACAACAACCACGTTAGTTACTGAAAACAACATTCCTTTCCCTATCTGTCTCCACTTCTGCCATTTCTCATTCCCCAGGAGCATCACTTTCGTCCCTTGTAAGTGATCAGTTGGTGTTTACCTCCATGACTTTAAATAAAATACTGACATTGCTGCTTCCTGATTTTTGTTTTATACATTATCCTTTGGCTTCTTGCTACGGAAAAGTGTGACTGTAACTTTTTTTTCAACTACTTCTACCTCTGCACCCCCAGTCCTCCCAGGTAGACTTGGATCTTAATTTTGATAGAATAGTAGTCATTGTTTTCATTATTATGACTAAGTGTTTGCTAGTATCCGCTAGCAGTCTGTCAGCTTGTCATACTGGTGGTTTCCCTGTTCCAAAGTACTGGAAGGTATACCATGGTATTTCAGGTGCTCCAGGATTCCCTATGATAAATAGGTTTGTTTCACCCAAGCTTCTGGACTGAAATAGAATAGAAAAAAAGACCTGATGATCTACTTTGGAAAAATACTCAGTGAGAACTCTGTGGATCACAACAGAATATTATCCAATGTGATGCTGGAAAATGAGCCCTTTAGTTGAAGGCACTCAGAATACACAGTGGCCACACCAGTGGACCTGAGCGTGCCGGTGACCACAAAGGTGGCACTGGGCCGGGCAGTGTCTCGCTCTGTTGTGCATGGGGTCGTCATGAGTCAGAGCCAACGGGAGGGCAGCATTAATATGACATCTGCTAGGATATTGTGTTCTTTTCCTGCTGAAGTGTTCATTCCTCTTGGCATTAATAATTATTTTTTCATTTGTTTTATTTTGTATTCGGCTAAGCACATTAATTCAACCCTACATCTAAACTCTGTTGCCAGGTCTACTATCAGAAGTAATTCTCCATTCTCTTGAAAAATTTCTTCTCATTCTCCTGACCTTCAGCCTGGCCGTTTTACTCTGTGCCTGAGGCACTGCCTCACCCTGGGAACACTCCTCATAGTAGTGCCAGGACTTTCTTTCCCCACTGGTCTTTATATCCCACATCTCCCTCTTTCTTTACTCTCTCAGTGGATTCCTCATGGATTCATAGAAGATAAACTGTTTTACATCTTGCAGGGCTGAAAATATCTTACTACTCTCAAATTTAAATTTTGATTGTATAACTGGTTATTAAATTCTAGGTTGCCTCAGGATTGAAGATACTATTCCATTATCTTCTAGTTTCTGTCACTCTTAAACAGTGATATCAACCAACCAACTCACTGCTGTCGAGTCAGATCCAGCTCATAGCGACTCCTCCTCGGGTTTCCAAGGCAGTATCACTACAGAAGTAGATTGCCCAACCTTCCTTCTGAGGGGTGGCTGCTGAGTTTGAACCACCAGTCTTCTGGTTAGCAGTCAGATGCCTTAGGCACTATGCTACCAGACATACAGTTTAACTGAATTCCAGGTTGGAAGTTATTCTTCTTCAGAACGGAAGCATTATTCCATTGCTTTCTAGATTCTAGTTTTATTATAGAGATTTCTGATTCCTAATCCTATATGTGTGACCATTTTTTGTTTGTTTTTCTCAATTTAAGCCTCATATATTAACCTTTTAATTTCTTAACGTTTCTTGGCTATTTCCCCCTGTCTGTGTTTTGAGCAATTCTTTAACTTTATCTTCTAATCCTCTGTTAAATATTTATTTATGCATTTGTTTATTGATACCTGTTTTCATATTTGACACTTCTTCAGGTGTCTCAGGATCCTTAGTTATCTACTTAAGATGGAGCATTCAGTGTATATCGATCTGAGTAGCTGTTTGTTTGTAGACTCTCTCATGTCGTTGTGTTTAGGTCTTTCCTCTTTGGCTGCTCATATTAAAGAGTCATATCCTCAAAACTTAACTTCGGGAGTGTGTGACTGTCCGTGCTCTAGCTGCTGAGTATAAGAAGAGCACTTGGGAGACAAGGCAGGGCAGTTGTGGTCATAGATAGTTTATGAACTAACATTTCTTTTATTTTCTTCATATGGTTCATCTGCCCTGAGTTTGTATCTGCTGTCATCTAGGCTAGTATTCTACTAGTTTATAGAGTTCTCTTTCCCTATAGCTTTCTACTTACAGATTTTTTATTCTTTCCAGGTGGCTTTTTATAATGTATAATCTGTTTATATTTGCCTGTATTCATAAACTGTGTTTTTTTTTTAACTTTAAGTCATTTACTTGATAGTAACAGATTAATGTATAGTTAAAAATCCAGATCCACTAAGAACCTTCTCAATAGCATTATAGTAATTAAAATACTACACAAATAAAGAAATTAAGAGAAAATATTTTGAATGACTAAGAGTTTAATTTGCATGTCTTCCTGAATAGGAACCAATGGATTTTAGAACCTCATTGTTTTTCTCTGGTAAAATCTTGTGATCAAAGAAGTGATGGCTTGTTTTACTGCTGTCACCTAGAAATGACCAAAATTAGGAATGAGTGTGAGGTTATAACATTGTTGTTTTGTTTTTAATTCAAAAGGTATAAAATATTATTGTATCAGTTAAGACTCTGTTTGGCTATGACAGGGAAATCCAAAATAATTGTGTCTTGAACACTCAAGGTTCTGGTCTTTTGTCGTTGTTGCTGGTAGGTGCCATTGAGCCAGCCCTGACTCATAGTGACCCCATGCACAATAGAGCCAAACATTGCCCAGTCCTGCTCCATTGTTAAAATCATCACTAGGGGTGAGCCCACTGTTGCGACCACTGTGTCAATCCATCTCGTTGAGGGTCTTCCTCATTTTCTGTGGTCCTCTACCAACCATGATAGCACTATAGATATTATAGAAACACATCCTATAAAAGAAGTAAAGCTATCTTGATTCACCAGTGACCTGAGTGTCAAGGTAGAAAATCCTATGGTCTCTCCCAAAAAGGTACAAAAATGAAGTGATTTCAGAAAGGTTGTGGGGTGCAAGATGAGTCAGCAAACATCAATTCTATTCAGTTCTATTTCTATATGCTAACAACAAACAATTAGAAATTAAAAATTTAAATAGAATTTGTCTCTTCACTGAGGACCTACTTTCTTTTTTCATCTCATAATGTCATGCCAAAAGCTCTCTGGCCTCCAGCAGCATTGCTGTATTCACCACTGCAAGAAATACCATGCTCCCACTGCCACACTCAGGATCTTGTCACTAGAAACTGTTTCACCTTTGTCATTGTCTTACCCCACTATGTTTGTTCTGTTACCTAGTTAATGTGTCTGTTTTCGGAACTTCTCCCTGTTTTCTGTGTCCATCATCTCTCTTGCTTTCTGCTTTAACTCCTTCACTATCAATTATGAATTTATAAGCATTCTGAACGTTCTTTTTAGCTCACCCTTCTACCTGCCTCTCCAGCACTGTCTTCCTCCTGCTGTTAGAATCCTGCCAGACAGAAGGGCTTGCATCTCCCTGAACCTGCTTGACTCTTCCAGAGCCTCTGTCTTTGCTCATTCTACGTCCTCTTTCTGATATCCTTTGTTCTCCTAACCCCCTCCTTCCTCTATGCTTGGTAAATACCTCACCCTTCTCCAGGAGTTTCCCAGGTTATCACTTTTCAGAAACTTCTGCTCACTCATACTTCAAGATAGAAGTTTCTCTGGATTCTTTACAGTACTTTAGTCATAGTGGTTGCTGGAGCCCTGGTTGCAAAATGGTTAAAGCACGGGGCTGCTAACTGAGAGGTCAGTGGGTCACACTCACTAACTGCTCCACAGGAGAAAAGATCTGGTGACCTGCTTCCATAAAGGCTTACACCCCAGGAAACCCTGTGGGGAGTTAGACTTTCAGTGTAGAGTCAGTAGGAGTTGGAATCGGCTCAACAGCACACAACGACATCACAATACTTTAGTTTTCACCTAGTTTTCGTGTCCACTCTTAATTTTGGGAGTCTCTGAGTGGTGACAGTGTTTTACCCCGGTGCTAAACGCCAGCTTTACATTTCTGGAAAATATAAATTAAAAAGAATTATAGGTACAGCATCTTGACAATTAAGCCTTAGAATGTCAAGAAACTTAGACAATGAAAACTATAAGGTACATTTAAGAATGATGTTTACTCATTTGGAACATAAATATATTTTCATACTACCATGAAATTAGAAATTTTGGTTATGTTGGTTTTTCAGTTTATTAGTCGGTTATTATTAGCAGTAGGAAATAAAATGAATCTTATTTAAAAATGCAAGAGAAAATTGCATCATAGATGGTGTCATTTTTATATTATTATTTTTAACTTTTAGGATTTTGAATTGTGGGATGATGTAGGCTTAAACATCCCCAAACCTCCAGACTTATTGCAGCTCTACCGAGATTTTGGAAATCATCAGGTGGCTGGGAAAGATGTTGTGGACGTGGCCAGTGGAGTAGATGAAGAGGAGCTGGAGGCTCTCACGCCAGTTTTAAGCAGCCTGCCTCCAACCTTTGAAAGTCCTCCGCCTGTAGAGGTGAGAGATCAGCTAACTGGTTGCGTTCACACGAAGTACGTAAACTGTTTGAAAGCATAAAACTATGACATGTTCAGTTTCTGTTTTTCTCTCATTTTGATTTTAGAACTCTATGCTAGTACAGAAACTGGAAGATAAAATTACTTTGTTAAATAGTGAGAAGTGGTCCTTGATGGAGCATATCAGAAGACTTGAAAGGTAAGTGCTTGATCATTATTTCTAAACAAATTCTTAAAATTTTTAAGGAAATTGACAGATGATATAAATAAATGAAACAGTTGTTGGACAGACTTTGTTCATGTTTTAATAGTTCTGAAGGTGATAGTCTTTCTTTTGTTTTGTTTTTTTTTTTTAATTTTATTGTGATTTGGGTGAAAATTTACAGAGCAAATTCACTTTCCATGTAGCAGCTCACACACACTTTGTCTCATGACATTGAATTGATTGCAATTTCCCATAATGCAGCAGTTCCCCTCCCACTTCCTTCCCATAGTTACCTCTTCCCTGTATCCTTCTCTCCATACATTCCTGGTCCCTGAGCTGTCTACCTGTGCATATAAATAGCCCTTCTATTCTCTCATGATTGTTCTCTCCAAGAGGAGTGTATCTACCTAATGTAAATATTCAGCTCATATGCCTGTCTTTTGTTTGGCTGGAAGCCATAGGAGTGGGTTCAGTTCCAGACCTGAAGGGCAGTTAGGGGCCATAGTCTCAGTGGTTCCGTCAGGCTCCATCAGACCAGCAAATCTACCCCACCCTGTTCTTTTTTTTAATGCTTTTGAGTTTTATTTCACATTGTTCTCCCTCTCTGTCCAGAATCTCCTACATAGATCCTCCTCCAAGTGGTTGACAGTGGTAGCCGGGTACCATCTAGTTCTTCTGGTCTCATAGTCATATAGGCTGAGAATCTCATGGTATAACAGTCATTTGGACTAATTGTTTCCATGTGTCTTTGGTTTTCTTCATTCTTCTTTGCTCTGGACAGGGAAAGACCCACTGTTGCATATAGATGGCCACTTGCAAGCTTTTAAGATCCCAGTTGCTACTCACCAAAGTAAGATGTGGAACGTTTTTGTGTAGTATGTTATGCCAATTGAGCTTCATGTCCCCTGCGACTCTGGTCCCAAGCTCCCAAAGGGGCAAGGAGGCTGCATCTTTCTGACCTCCTCTAACCCCACAGGAGGAAGACAGAATCACCATCAGCAGCCCAACGCCTATTCCTGTGAAGCCAGATATGCTGCCTCCTTCCAGTCCTTTTACCAGCCCTGATACCAATCTTCCCTCCCGCAGCACCCACCACCTTTCTGCTGGGTTCGATAATTCGCTGCAGTGGCCACACAGAACTGACAGATTATGGGTTTTATTAGGGAAGCAACAGGCTACAGTTGAAGTTCAGGAACATGATCAGTCTCTCTCAGCCTGCTGTCTCTCAGCCAATGGTCTTTGTCAGTCTCTCTCTCAGCAGTACATGTCTCTCGGTGTCTCTCTCCTAGCAGTGCGTGTCTCTCAGTGTCTCTGTCTCAGCAGCGTGTGTCTCCTGATGTCTCTTTCTCAGCAGCGCATGTCTCTCAGCAGCATGTCTTTCTCAGCCAGCAGTCAGAGAGACTTCTTTTGCCTCTAGGAGGGCTCCTTTTGAGCCTGGCAGAGTGGCCAAACTAACCAGTCATAACATCAGAATTCTAAGCACCTGAGAGAGAATGAACCAGAACATTGCACTCTCACTAGAAGTACCCCAGGTGAATAACTTTAACAATCAGGAGCTCCTCAGTTGCTCATGGCAGATTCCACCATCGAGTTTATAAAGACTTAATGGCTATAAAAGCCATACCAGGTAATTTACTATACCGCACAAGCCCACAGGTCCAACTACTCACTCCCTCTGGGTAGCTGGCTGTGGCCAAGAAGTGACTACAGCCTTGCCCCTTGTCAGCTCTACTATACACCTGAGAATTCTTACAGAACATACACTTGTAGAAATATTGTCTGTGAACCCTATACATGGTCTTAGGCATACTCCACCCTTCATAGACAAACCTAAAGTTTCAGCCTGTCCTCCCATCTGTCCACCCATATACCCATGTTTGCCTTCTGAAAATGAGAGTCTTATGATCAACCAACCAGTTACCGTCGAGCTGACTCTGAGTCATGATGACCCTGTGTGTGTCAGAATAGAGTGTGCTCCATAGAGTTTTCAGTGCAGATCACTAGACCTTTCTTCTGAAAGTCTTATCATTGATTCATAATTTAATATAATAATTATTGAATCATGGAAATAATCCTACAATCAGTTGTCTTGAAATCAAAGAATAAGATAGTTTTGACTTCCCTGAGTATCAGTATCAATATCAGTATCAGTATCAACAAGTAACTCCTTCATATCAGTGTTGTGCATGTTTTCTATTCAAGATTTCATTTGATACTTAAAATAACTCTTTGGATAAGATAAAATTATCCTCATTTTGAAAATGAAGAAAAGAAAATTAAGTGATAAAATTTTATTTTTTAAAATAGTTATGATCTTAGAATAGAAAAGTAGTTACCACTGATATAAAAGCATGGTTTATGATAAAAGGCCATATTTATGATTCATTGGTGAGAGTTAATGGCTATACTTTTAGGTGTACGTGGTACAGAAAAGACTAATCAAAAACCTCTTCTACTAATATATTGTGCTTTTTTGTATGTGTGTGACTTGGGTGAAAGTTTCCAGAGCAAATTCATTTTCCATACAAAAGTTCATTAAACACATTTTCAGTTTATACTTTTGCCAGTTTTAGAAATACAGTTGTTCTCTGGTAACTTCTTTTTCTTTCTACAGTGAAATAGACTTTCTCAAAAATGAACATTTTGCCATCCCAGTGGTGTGCGACTCTGTTCAGCCTTCTGTGGATCAGTCTTCCCACAAAGACTCTGAAGACAGTGAGCAGAGTTCAGTTGTAAATAGTTCAGACCAGGGAAGAAGCAAGGATATTCATCTTTCAGTGTCCGATGAAGTCGATTCCGCTGCTCCTAAAGAGAATTCCTCAAATTCTGTGCCCAGGAGAGGAAGGGAAGGAATGCCATCTTCTTCTCCACAAAGCAGAAATGCAGCTCAGTTTGATAAACCCAATAGGTTAGTATGTATCATGTTGATTTTAAAGTGCATTGTTCAGGCATTTAGTCCATTGACAAACTGGAGCTTTAGTTCTAATTTGAGCTGCTTTTGCAAATCAGATATATACGTTTTTACATTTAGATTGAACTTACACATAGCAAGTTACATGTCACAAAAAACATGTCACAAAGTTGTTATGAAATTAAATTACATCAGAAGTGAGTAAACAGTCAACATGTTATAGTCGATCTTGTTGTTATGTGCCATCGAGTCGGACCCGACTCATAGTGACCCCTCCTTGGGTTTCCGAGGCAGTATCACTACAGAAGTAGATTGAGTCATCTTCTTTCCAAGAAGTGGACAGTGGGTTTCAACCACCAGCCTTGTGGTTAGCATTCATGTGCCTTAGGCACTATGCTACCTGAGCTCCTATGGTCTATCTTAGCTAAGTATTAAACCCATAAGTAATATGCATGTTAATATGTGTGAGTCAGAAGAAGATTTTGGTATGTGGTTAGCGACCTATGCTGAAGAGAGCAGTAGTTTTTGCTCCTTATTTATTTCTTGTGTCTGCTTCTATTATAATACTGTGTCATTAATATTCCCTTTATTTAATGTTTATTGGATCTCAGAAATTAAACTTGGATGACAGGTCCTTGTCCTTCATGATCATGTTTTCTAGTGGTAAAGACAAAATATAATTTAAAAATTATTATATCATAATATGAAAAAAAATAATTTTAAGAAAAATATTTACTGAGGTCTATATGTCAAGGAGCCCTGGTGACACAGTGATTAAGTGGTTGGTGGCTAACCAAAAGTTTAAGGGTTTGAACCCATCAGTTGCTTCATAGAAGAAAGATGTGGTGGTCTGCTTCCGTGAAGATTGCAGCCAAGAAAATGCTATGGGACGGTTATACTCGGCCCTAAAAGGGTCGCTATGAGTCAGGCTCAAATATACAGCAATGGGTTATTATTATGTGTCAGGGACAGTTCTAAGTGCTTCATGATACTAGCTCATTTTATCCTCGTAGCTATCCTATAGTGCATTCTCAGACACAAGATCGTGCCTCCTGTTTTGCAGAGGCCTGTTATACCTGGGGTTAGGATATAATAGGAAAGTAAAGATAATTTGTTTTAGACTATTGGTACTGATTATTAACAACACATATCTGATTTTTTGGTTTTTTTAAAGAAAAGCTTTCTACTAATGAACCACAACTATTTGTGTACCTACTATGTGTATTTTTTCTTTAGGTATATGGGAGTTACAGAGTTCGTATAGTCATAGCCCAATTCTTAAGGCACATTTATTGTGATACAGATAAAATAACACAAAAATCTGTACTATGATATTCAATAACTGCATTTGTAATAGTTCTTTAATGTTTAGGAGTGCTTCCAGGTATCTCCTTGAATACTGCCAACCAATCCTGTGGAGATAGATGATTGTGAAATTGTTGAACTTTTTTTTATAAGGAATATAATGGAGGGACCATTTTTTTTTTAATAAGCAAGACATACGGGAATCCCTTCAGCCACAAACCTTATAGTCTAGTGTGAGAGTTAGACCATCAGGTGATTACAATAGGGTATGAAAAGTAGTAATACAAGGAAAGTGAAGCTTTTTTCGGAAATATGTAATCAATGCACCTAACCAATCATCTGACCAAAAAAGATTTCTCTGAAGAAATGACATCTAATCTGAGACCTGAAGACTAAGTAGGAATTAAGGAAGCAAAGTGGTAAGAGGAAGAGTATCCTACTAAGGGACAACACCATCTTCAAAGAGAACATGGTGAGTTTGAGGAACTAGCAAGAATTTAGTAGGGTTTAAGCAGACAATGCAAGTGAGATGAATGACAGGAGATGAAGTTGGAGTCAAGCAAATACCAAGTCATATAAGCCTTTAAAGAGCCAGAAAGAATCCTTTTGGATAAAGGTGTCAGGTAAAGGGTTGCAAGATTGGTAGAAGTGAGACTGATAAAG